TCCTTTCATAATACTTCCCACAAATACATGTATATGCGTGTGCATATTGCCCCCCGACGTTCCGCTATTTCATTATTATATGAATTGAATAAGTTATAAAATATGCAGGGTATTATTGCACAGCACATGACATACTTATAGTTACAATGGGCTGCAGTCATAATCCAACGTTTGTTAATTATAACACCCGTACACTCGGATCCGATGGAAAGATTAACACTAGTAAATCTAATGACCACAGTATAAGGAGATTCTCCTAACTCTGTATCCAAACCCCAGTCCTTTAAATTAATGCCTGATATATTGACGGTTTGGCCGATGATATTGAAATCGTCGCCGTAAACATCAATGGTTTGGTTACTGACATCGTTTGCGAAACATTTGATCGGCTTATTTATGGGCACTTTTTGTGGGGCATATCTCAGACCACAATTTTTATCACTAATGTTTGGATAGTAACCAATTTCCCAAAACATCGACACAACACCTAATTTATCGTACATTTAGTTATAAAAATCATTGTATAATTGGATTGATTATGAATTAGGAATTCACTTACAGTGATATGAGATTAAATGAAATAAATACATATACATTGAAAACATATTGCTTTAAAACATATAAATGTTAGGCAATTGTGTATACAGTATAAGTGAATTGCTTTTCAAATCAATAAATTTAAAATTGAATGAAACGGTTAATTATAAAATTACACATTCAATGAGTTATCAGTTTTACATTCTATCCACGAGTTATAACAATTGTAAGTAACTTAAGTTACAGTATACTAATTGAATACTATTAATATACAGTAGTCTATACTATATGTACTATACCACGTGCATTGGTTTTATGTAAAAAATGTTAGTGTGCTCAAATTTAAATTATTTATAACTTTAACATAATATTATTTCAATACTATTTGGATTTAATTTTATAATTAAAATTCATAAATGTTTATAAAAACTTTGCCATTCAAAAAGTTATACACATTTTAGTTGTTATTTATTTATAATAACACACATTAAAGGTGTGCAATAAATGCACTTTCATTCAGATTTTATATCACATAAAACAAGCCCTTATTGTCCCCCAGAGTTGAATTCATATACAATGAACACTACATTCATTTCAGCCCCTCATATATAGTACACATACTTTATGTGCAAACCATGTGTTAATGATTGGCATATATAGTGAACGCATGCGTGCATTAGAGCACACATTAATGTTTGGCTCAAGTCTTCAGTCTATCATCTTTTGAGTTGAAATTAAGCGACCATTTGATCACTCGTTGGACTCATTCCTCACCGACAAAGACATTACCACTCATACAGACAATAGACACTAATCGGCGACAGCGATGGCCCACACGATAGTATTGGTACAGACGGGCAAACCCGACACCAGGACTTACAGCGACTTCGAGTCCGTCAACGATGCCATGGAAGGTATGCCTTAAGACATGATCACCATTGAGTTGATCCCATACAGCGTGTGGTGACACAACCGATGGCATTGCCATTGAACTGATTGCCTGCGCGGGTGTGATGTGTGTTAATGCGATTGTCTTGTTATACCTCTGGTGTAGGCGTTTGTCACATCTATGAACAGCACCTGAAGCGGACCAATCCGGACACGCCGTCCATCACTTACGACATCTCACAGCTCTTCGACTTCATCGACCAGTTGACTGATTTGAGTTGTTTAGTGTCAGTATTTTGATTGTCATTATCATTGTCTCACCACTTGTGGTCAAACACGTGTTTCATTGTCTGATTGTCTCTTTGTTTTGTTGTCACCGCAGATATCAGCGCAACACCAATACGTACGCGCCGTACGCCAAGGAGTGGATCAAAGA